GGGACGTTGTCCTCCCACGCCACCGTCTTGTGGCGCCAGCCGGGTGGAAGATCCCTGAGCCACATGACGGCCTCTTGGTCGATCAACTGAGCGCGCCGTATCAGGGCGAGCATAAGCTCGATGTTCTCGGGCGTCCTTGCCAATGTCGTCATCAGCTTCGTCACCTCGGCACGGAGCTCTCCAGCCTTGATGTTGATGCTCTGACAGCTCGCGGCGGCCGCCGACTTGACCGCGTCAGACATCCACCACTCGATCCCGTATATGGGCGCCTTGCCAGTAGTGAGAGTATGGATAATCTGGCAACACCAAGGAACAAGGAGTCGTCAGTCATTTGCCATATTCGTCGTGTGGCATTTCATGTGACTTTTTAGTCCCGTCTTACCATTTGAGTTCTAACAGCGATAAACAGCAAGAGGCCAAGCTTGCTCCGAAGTTGATTCCTACCCCGAGCTTTGACAATTTGAACGGCGCCCTCGATGTGGGACCCCCAAGCGAACATGCCCATTTGCTTCGCTGTGATGTTCTGCATGATGGAAAGTGACGATGAGTTAGCAGCGGCCCAGTCACAGGCAGATTATGCATGTTCCTGATTTCCCGTTGCCTTACCTCAAACAAGCCGAGCAGCAGCACGGCGGCCAGGACCGAGTCAGTCTTGGAGGCCTCTGGATCGCGGAGCGAAACATGCGTCTTGGCGAGGGCCTTCGTGTACTCGCCCAGAGCACGCTCGCCAAAGTTGATACCGTTGGCTGTGACCTTGTTACCCAGCGAGGCAAGGGCGCAAGCATTGAAGGCGTGCGTCAGATGGCTGTCGCTAGGTTCGTCCTTCATCATGGGAACGAGATAGTCCATGAAGCCGCGAGAGCCATCCTGGTGGGGGACTAGGACAAAATTTGCAAAGAAATGGCAGGTCGCGTGCTGCTCGGGCGAGACGGCAAGGCTGGGGACGACGACCGAGACCCGGTTGTTGAAGGGGTCCCGGGCGCGGTCTAGAGCCTGGCTGCCCTGGCTGTCGGCCGGAGCCGGGTCCGCGTCAGGGCGGAGGCCCTGCTTCTGGGCCAATGCCTTGCGGTTGGCCTTTTGTGCCCTCCGCTCAGTGGCCTTGGTCTCGTTGCGGAAGACCAGGTCGAACTCGTCCTTGTAACCGGGACATTGCCGCCGGGACTTGGCACACTGGTTGCAAGTTGGCTTGGTCTCGTCGCACTTCGGTTATGGTTGGCCATGTTAGTCACTGATGCTCTTCTGTTCTCTCCTCACTGGTCCGGCCAGCCAGCTCCAAGTAACATGTCCAAGCAACCAGGCCGAGAACAGCCCGTACGGCCGACACCGTACCTTGATACGTCGGGTTCTGCACATCTGGCAGCCCCGCGAGGGTTTTCCGCAGTAGACCATGACGGCGATCCCAGGGGTCTAGTCCAGTTTCTAGTCCAGTTGATGTTCTAGGAGTGATTGTTGGTTTGTCTTATTGGCACTTGGGCAATAGTTTCGGGAGAAGAAGAGGACGATGGTGGAAAGGAGGTTTCAAAACGATGCGCTGTCCAGTCCGGTATAGATAAGTAGCGCGGTGTGTCGGTTAAAGAGGTGCCAGCAGCCAAGCAAGGACTGCAGGATCTATGCCGTATTTCTCGAATGGGGACGGGAGAAGGAGAGGGACGTGGCCCACCCGGGAAGGCAGGGGGTGGCGACAAGGGCAGCGGGCAGGGGAGGGTCGAGGTTCCGCACAGGTTGCAGTGGGAATCACACGCCGCAGGAGTCGGAGTCGGGATATGAACAAAGTTCGTCTCTCTTCTGCAGCACAATGTGGCGAACGGGCGAGGAGGTGAGATGGAACAGCGGGGCGCAGAGAGGTGATGCAATGTTGACAATGGCCGAACGTTGTGCTTGGCAGATAGGTAGGTAGCCAGGAAAAGCCAACCAAGACCGGTGTCAGCCGAGCACTGACACAGGGCCGGACGGGACGCACTAAAACGAGGGAGAGCGGACAGTTTGTTGCTAGCGGAAACAGCAGCAAACCCTGGGAGAAAATGGGAGGGGGAGGGGCGTTTTGAATGGTAGCGCTCCGCGTCAGACTGTCCCAATGTTTGCTGGCCAGGAACTCAGCCAGTCCAGCCACCGATCATCTGTTTGAGAAATCCGGGTGCGCTCGCTGCGCGCCCGGAGGATGAGCGCAGTGACGACGATACTGAGGACGTGAACGAGGATGGGCCCTGTCGGGGACCGTTGGGGAGAAGACGTGGGAAGAAAATAAAGTAAAGTGAAATAAAAAAAGATCGATCAGTGCCGAGGAACTTTACACTGTCACATCACCCCAAAGGGGCTGCGGTGGTGGTACAGGGGTAAGCCGGGGGTGCTCCCGGCAGCCAGCAGAACCGGGACTAGGATCAAATGTAAGGTGGAGCGACACAGGGGCGGTCTTACAGGGCCGTGTGAGTGTGTGGTCCGCCGCCCGTTTCCACCCTCACGTCGCTGGTTCAGTCCCCGGCTCTTTCTTGTTTCTCTGCAATCGAAGAGGCATGGGCTTTAGTGAAAGCGACACGCTATGTGGAGCAGTGTTTGTAGTCCAGATTTGGACAAACCCGTAGCGCGGCAGGCCAACCGTAGCGCGCGAGAGTGCGAGCGGGTGTGCCCAGCCGTGCAATATAGCACGGAACCGGTCGACTCGATCGAAGTCCAAGAAGCAGCTAGCCGTTAGCAGGGGAAGGTTGAAGACACTCTAGACTTCACCAGGTAGCCTGCGGCTTTATTTCGGGCTGGATGCAAAATCCAGCCTGGGCAGGAGAAGTTGCCTCGGACATGGTTTTCTGTGTTTGGTGCCATCCGGTTTGGGTAGGCTTCTTGCAGTGTCGTGTCGTCCATGCTCAAGAAGGGAGACCCGCCCAATATCGCTCAGCCAAGGAGGTGCCGAAAGTGGTGGGAGTGGAAGGCAGTTTTTTGGCTCAGCTCGGTCCTCTAAGAGGCAATCAAGCAGCGTGCCAACACGCTAAGCTACCAGCCGGCCAGGGGCGCCAGCGTGCAGGGCCGCCGCTGATCAGGGGTTGACTTGTGGTTTTTGGCTTTTGCGCCTTGTTGACATCGGCGGCTCTGGCTGGGTCGATGTCACACACACAAGCCGGCACTCAGTCCCGTACCATAGCGACCTTCCAACGCAGGTACGCAGAGCATGTAAATGCCTCGCATCGCATCGCATCTCATCGCATCTGGTCTGCGAACGGGTATGATTTGCTTTTGCTGGGTCTCCCGTTTGCTTATCGCAGGTGGCAGGCCGGCCAGTGCCAGCGGCTTTCGTGGTCTTCCAGGCACCACGTGTGTGGGGATCCACGACGCGTGGCTTGCTTTCCAGTGTCTTGTTTTCTCGTATGCCAGGCCGAGGCTGTTGTTGACATGGGTGGATGGTCAACGCTAGAAGGAGAAGAAGACAAGACGGCTTTGGAGCGAGACCAAAAGAAGCAAGCACAGACTGGAGTTAGGGGCGGGGAGGGGCAGGGTTTCGAGGGGCTGGTGGGGCGTCATGGCGTAACAACCAGTAAAGTCGCAGGAGCGCTCCGACACAATTCAAATTGTGAGCTCTGAGACAGCCACCAGCGTGCGCTAGGCAAGAACCGGCCTCCTGCAGACCCCGCTCGCACCTGCCTCCCCGCCGCACCGTCACACCATGTCAACCAAAGACTGGAGAGCTGTGGGCTTGGGCGGGACATCTTTCCTTGGTCATCTCTTGCATCTGCCGCACTGCGCCCAAGCCCAAATCGTGTGTTGCCCCGCCCGCCAAGACCATCGATGCGCCTGTCGCCAGGGACCAGGGGGGAATCATCTACAGGACGTCTGATGAGACTGCACGAGCGGCGTCCTCGGGCCTCCGGTTATAGCTACGGCCATCAGACTGTTTGTGAGGCACTGACTTGTCATTTATTGCCATCACCAGCATTCATCACCAGCGTGCCTGCAAAACAGGACTGCCCTTGCACGGGCGTCTGCGGGCTGTGGCGTGCGACTAACTTTGCCTTTCGTGGAATGTTTGTCGCCAGCATTCCCAGCCATCATCACCAGAACCATCATCAGAGGCTAGTGACGCTCGAACCTCAAAGTGACAAAATACGACCCTTCCGTCGCCGCCGCCGCTGGGCCGGCTTTCTCGACCATGGTATACGATTCATTTGCGGCTACCTAGGCATCTTGTTCGTCACATGATGAATGTGTCGGCGGGTAGTGCGGAGCCGTGTGGGATTGGCGTTCCCTTTTGCCACCCCTGGCCGTAAAAGGTTGGTGCTGTTTCAGCCTTGGGACCACTTACTCTGGCCTCAGGTGTCGCAAGATCCGAACCCGGGGATGGGAAAGGCAAGTGGCCAAGCTGAGCGTGGGAGGCCGGGGTGAGCCTCGGTGAGGTGCGTGGTGGCGGGAGGACGCATAACAGAACTGGAAGAAGACGAGCAGACAAGCAAGAAAGTCAGGGGCTTCTGCGTTGAGGGGCGGCACCCACAGGACAACAACCGATGGATCAGGGAATCTGGTCTGGGAACGTGCCCTGGTGGCACCAGCACCGGGGAGTATCCACCCGGCAAGATACCTCGATGTGCACCCAGATTGTCACCATTTGTCCAATGCCGCTAGGTGCCCGGCCTAGAAAGGCAGACACTAACTGTAATGGCACCCAAGAGGATAGCAGCACAAATCCACATCCCACTCACAGTACAAACAGCCTATGTACACGCCAAAGTTCGGACGGCCCCGACGGACCATGCACCGCCACAATGCAACCACCCATGCCACCCAACTGCCCCGACCATACTCCGGTCCAACCCGCTGCAGAGATTGCTGTCCAAGCACACTGATCGATCGTGGTCTGGGCGTTTGCCGGGTGGGGGGATGCTACTCCAGCCTCCAGACCCGTCACCCCTCCCCACCGCCGCACCAGCCAACCCCACACATCGTCATAGTCCTCTCCGGCATGTCTAGGCTCCGATATAGCCCTCCCCACCGCCGCCGCACCCCAACAAGGAGTAACCTCAGGGATCGTGGCGCAGTTGGCTAGCGCGTAGGTCTCATATGAAAAGCTTTGGCTACATAACTCGTATGACCTGAAAACGGGCAATCCTAAGGTCGTGAGTTCGAGCCTCACCGATCCCAGTATTTTACTTTTTTAACGCTAGAATCCTTACGTATTTCCCCTTTTCCCTTTTTTATTCCATCAGAAAGAAGCCATCGAAGAAGGAAGCTGAATTGTTTTGACAACTTTACGAACTTAGCTCATATAAACGTGTTGGCCCATTTACGGACACAGCTAAGTAATAACTACGTGCCTAGCTAGAATGACCACTTCTTCAACTCATCATATTCGCTCTCTCAGTGATATGGACGACGGCTTCAAGATTCACGTTCACGTGCTCGCAGCTCTCCTGAGTCTGCCCGTCCAGGATCTTGCATGGAGAAAATAGTAGCGCGCAGGACGGCGGGGGAAAAGATCCAACCCTATTTAGATACGAGGCTGTGACAAACACACACAACCGCCAGGTAATCTACGGCGATGAAAGCCATTTTCATAGTAGAGTAGTCCTCATTGTCCTCGCGGGGTCGACCGAACAATGTGGAAAAGGTTGTCGTCGGCCATGATGAATGCTTGTTGGTGTTGTGCTATCAGATGCCGTCCTCTTCGGGGTTCCGATCGAGTGATGGATCATCTACCTGCCACATTCATCCCTTCTGCTTGGCTGCAGTCGATCGCCTGATGCATCTTGGGATCTTAGAGAGCAGCGGTCTTGTCGCTTAGTCTTAGGCCTCCCTTCTCCAAGATGCGTCACAGGACCACAGTTTTGCAGGACAGTAAAAACTCGTCAACATCATGGCAATTGATGGGTTTCCCAGCCGTGGCGGTCTACGGTAGTGTCCGTCAGCGTTCGGCGGCGTCGGTACTGGGCGAGACGGCACGAGTCCCCTCTCAGGTCCTCTTGCTCTGGAGGAGACGGCGGCGCCGGTCTGCGGGAATCGGTTACCGCTGGCGTCGAATACAAAGCTATCGGGAGGCTGTAGTACAATCCCCGCGCGTCTAGCGCCAGAGGATCGGGTCGGTAGTGATTCGAGTACGACCTGAGGCTCGAGTGAAGGGAGAACGCGCTAGGAAGACGACGATTGGGAGGGCTCTTAACGCCCCGCCGCGTTCGGCTAGGACGGGCCTACACTACTTCGCTCCATCACGACATGGCGCTGACGACGCCTATACTTGCTGACAATGCTTTCAACATTAAGCTGAAGGCCGGATTTGGAGCGTACGATCTGATGCGTCAGTCTTAAGGCCTCCAATCACCAACTCGTAGACCCGTTTGCGGCCCTTTGGCTTGGCCATTCCATGGGCGGCATGTCGGTGCCGGCCCGTCACTATTGGAGAAGACGTCTGCCGAGGAGCAGGTCCAGGAGATCGAGAATTACGGAATTTAAGACCACAGGCCTCGGCGCGTATTCATTCGACTGTCCGCGGCAGCTGTCATGCACTGTCGGCGGCGACGCGCCTTGGGTCTACTCCAGTCTCGTTTGCCTATACACCCCTGGACCAGCCGCGGCTCGGTGCCTGGGCCGGGACACTACTACCAAAAGTCGATATACAGCTTGAATCATGACTGACCTTCCTGTCCTAGAGGAGAGCGACGTGCATGGAGCCAAAAGGGCCAGAGGCCGCTTTTTCCGGAAGGCCGGACGCCGGTCCCCTCGCTCAACTTCACGCCCAGCCAGCCAGCCGCCGTCTCGGGTCAATCATTCAACTTCGGCAGTTCAACGCCAACAATGCAGCAGCAATTCCAGGCAGCGCAACCATCTGGCAATGACGAGAACGACTGGAGACCGTTCACGCTGCAACCCATTGGTCCAAGAAGAAACATACGGACCGGACATAGGGCCTGAACGGCGCTGACCAGCTTGATGGGATTGGACGCCATTGTCCGGGTCCTCGCCGACGCCGACAAAGTGAAGCAACCCAGAGGTGACTCCTGGTATGACGCTTGCAAAAACGACACGGGAATCATCCCTAGTGTCAACACCAGCACACCGTCATTAGATGGTCCGACATCAACTCCAAAGTCCTGCTGGCGACGTCACTGGCCAAAGGTGGAGGCGCCTGCCCATCTACGACTATGACTAAGCCCAGTGAGCACGCGAGGAAGGAGCGCTTGGTAGTAGTAGAAGATGCAATGCAATGGTGAAGCAGATGGCATGGGCAAAAAAAAAAAAAAAAAAAAAAAACTAACGTCGGAGCCGCCCGCTTCCAGCCAGAGGGTTTTCATGAAATCAAACCCCCGACCAAATAAAAAAACGCCGAAAGCTGCCGATGCTAGAGCAGACGACGTTCGATCTGGACGATCTAGCTGTGCTCCATTGACGAGCCACCATTGCCGCTCGTGGCCAGCGATGTGTTCCGGGCTCTCTGGACACCGAGTATGTACCTATTTCTACCTTCGCCTTCCACTCGTTGGCGTGTCTAGCCAAGCCTTTGCTTTAGACAGCGTGTTACTCCCCAACACGTTTTTGGCCAAGCGCTCTGCTTGGCTGGTCTCAGAGCATCGCGCCAGTACACCAAGTTCCTACCTCTTAGACGCCAAGCGAAACAAGGGGAAGGATCGTAGGCTATCGTTGAAAGCCCGGTTTCCCCGACCCACATCAATAAGAGTTCCCGATTGGAATCGGAACACTCCCGAGGGTCAGCTGGTTGATAGATCAGACCTTCTTCTTCCTGGCCACCAGCAGCTCCTCGACACTGAAGGCTACGGAGGACGACATGATGTCGTCATCCAAGCCTGGGTTTCAACGCCGGCTCTCTGCCTCTGCCGCCGCTGCCACTGCCAACGGTGCCCACAAGGGCAAGACGCTCCGCTGCTGGAATTGCGGCCAAGAGGGCCATCGTGAGTTCTGATATTAATGATAAATCCATTTGGCGATGTTAATGGGCATATTTTTAAGACAAAGATGAGTGCGTCAACCCAAAGTTGACCAAAGAGGAGCGCAAGGCGCTCAACAAGGAGCTGGCCAAAGCGGTCAAAGCCAAGGGCAAGACTGGCCACAAAGGGCCGGGACCCCGTGGGCGTAAGTATAGCGCCGCTTGCGGTTTTACGGTTTATTTGGTAGGTAAACTAACTAGGTGTGTTTTGGCAGCCATATCGACCACCTCTGCGGCCCATGTGTGCAACATCACAGGAGGGAATAACACCACGAAGTAATTTTTTTGGGGGGTTTATTCTTTGTCGACGGAATGAAATCAACATGGGCATAACAAGGCATGAATATTGGCATCTAGTATCATCTTATAGCTTGGATTATAATGGTGATGACTACACTTTCATGAATGAGCCCTCCCCTCTCCCTGCACAGCCATCCACCTGAGGTGCCCGACGCTTGCAACTGGGGACAATTGTAATGTACAGAAGTGTACGAGGAAGCCTGCACTGCTTCGAAGGAGAGGGAAAAGAAAACAAAATAGGAAATAGGGTAGGAAACAGGATAGGAGGTAGGACAAGTAATAGCATAAGTGCTAAGACAGGCAAGGGGATAGGGAATAAGGGAAATATGTAGGACAGCATATCTTTATTTGGCCGCCGTGGCATTGTATTATACAAATGTGCAGACCCAGACCCGGCTCGGCCCAACTCTAGATCTCAAGTTCTATTCCTGTCGAGTACACAGCGTAAACGAGGGCTCCTGCTGCTCCGTGGCCGTTGTGCATGGGATTGCCCTCTGGCGTCGATAATCATCATAGCATGACCTGCCATGTATCGCGTTTGATCCCCACGCGCAACTCGATACCCCCGGTACGCCTCAAGCTGCCTTCGCGCTCCCAACATCTTTGAGCCCGCCGGGAAACCCGCGCGGACGGAGCCCGCAACGCCACGCTTCTAGAACAAAAGTAGCCCCTCATACATCATGCGGCGCCATGCATTGACTGACGTGTGCGCGCAAGTCAAACCCGCTACTGACCATGTCCGTCAAACAAGCCGGCCACGCCCTCTAAGTCGGGACTGTTTCTCCGAGCTGCGCCCTGGCCTGGTGCTCCGCCAGAGTTGGATCCGGCTACGGGCGCCGTCATGAACTCTTGCGCCATCTTGGAGCGGCTTGCCTTTTTGCCGGAGCGGCCCGACTCCCCGCCGGTCCTGTTGAGCTTGCCCATCTCCGACACGCTGACGCCCTTGAGGTCCTTGAGGAGGTCCAACATCACGGCACGCTGCTGCCGAGGGTTGAGGCCTGGCCGCGATATGACCTCCATGGCCGCGAGCACGTCGGCCTCCTTCATGCCCGGCAGCGAGAGCAGCACCCGCTTCGGCGTCTGGGTGCATGGACCGTAGTGGACCAGGATCGACGCCATCAGTGCTGCCAGTTCCTTTTGCAGGTCGACAAAGTATGGCTCGTGCATCGACGTGATGCACGCCATCAGCACCTCGGAAGAGATGAACTCGCGGATCGCCACGGCCGTATCTTGCGGAATTGGAAACCTGTCCGGGACGTGCCCCTTGATCGGCGGCGATGGGCCGGGCGGAGCGTCCATTGCTCGAAGGCACACGTCAGAGAACTCGGGTACGATGTAGCGGAACACTCGCAGCACCACTCCGCAACACCTGCTGTCGCGCATGCGTATGGCGTGGACGCAGAACAGCAACAGTGGCTCCACTATTGCCGACTGCATCAGACAGAACTTGCGGAGCGATGGGAACGCCCGAGGATCGGCAGCCGACGGCCCGGAGCCTTCGACGTCTGCAGTGTCGCAGCAAGTTAGCTTAGCCAGCGCACCCCCTCGCCAATGCCACGGCGCAGACAACCCGAAGAGCAAACACTTACTAATCCTCTGAGGATCGAGGAAATCTGCCACCATGACAACCGCCGTGTACGTTAGCTGCCGTAGAATGCTCTCGGCCTTCATCTCCTCCGTCAGCTCTTCCCCGGCCGTCTGGACGCCCTGCTGGAACCCGAGCTTTTCCCACTCTGAGTTGATCTTGGTGTCCATTTGCTGGAAGCACGCCGCCAGCAGCGGAGGCAGGAAGTGGTCTCGCAGCTGTATCGGGCAGTGGTCGACCAGATACCGCACTAGGTTGAGGAGGTTGACTATCTGGTGCGTCGACAAGCACACTGAATCCGAAAAGAGCGCCAGCGAGAGA